TCTCTCTTTCCTTCTCCCTCAGCCTAACGCGTCTCCCCTCTGGTCCCCCTGCAGCCACGTGTAATCCCACTCGCCACCCTCGCCGCCGGCCATGCAAACGGCCGGAGACGTCGCCGAAAGGATTTTTCGTCGCCGCAACTAACCGCCGGAGACCGGAAAACTCATCAGAATCTGCAGATTTTACCAGAAATCCTCAAGAACTCATCCAGTCTTCATCTGCTTCTCTTCAAAGACCTCGCCGGAGAATTCATCGGAACCACCGTGTGTCTCCAGAAATCTTCAAACGACCAAGAACTTCATCAGTACTCATCATCTTTTTTCCAGAATTGTCAGAAATCCTTCCGATCCTAACCTGGATCTTCTTCGTTCATCAATATCTCCATATTTCCGCAGTTCAAGAACATTCGTCACGTTCTTCGTCCGTTCAAGATTTTTCTTCAGATTTCTCAAAGAACTTCGTCAAGCCATCTCATCGCGTGTCAAGATCCTCAGATTTTTAGATTGTCTTCGCTCACCGTTAGTTTCGTTGATCCTCGTATGTTCATCGGGTAACAACACCATCGCCGCCGTGGATTTTAAAGCATCAAAGATTCGCCAGAAGAAGATCCGTTGAGTTCTTCGTAGACTTCGCCGAGCTTCATCAAATCTCTAGATTCCTCATCACAGCCGTCGCATTCTCCATGTTCTTTCTCTAAACTTGTTACACCTTCATAGCTCGTTTGTTAACTGGAGAGTTAGATTTGAGTGGTAGATCTTGAAATGATTAGGTTAAGAAATCTGATGAGAGTTTGAATGGGAGAGTTTTGTGAAAAGAGATTAGGTTAAGGGAATTGATCTGAGTTGATAGGTCGGTGGTATGGTTTGTGTGGAATCAAGGTTGCGTTCGTAGTTTGAGAGAGTCAGAGAGAGAGAGCTTGGTTAGGGTGAGACGGCGCTAGGATGATGAACAGTGGAGAAGAGTGGGATAACTTTAGGGTTTTTGTGTGCTGATAGAGGTTGGGTTGGACTCGGGCCTTAGGCCCATTGTGATTGTGCTAAGTGTCCCTCCGTTTCCCCATTGAACCCCCTCTCTGTGGTTTTTTCATCTTGGGCCATAGGCCAGAATTGCTAATCGCACCCCCAATTGGAGGCCCATTGAGAAAACAAGGCGAAACTCTTGCTATTCGCCACCCATTTTTTCCATTTTCCTTGGTTTTTTTAATGATTTTCTGAGTGGTTTGGGCCTAGCAGCGCGCCTGATATTGGCACCCCCCTCCTGAGCCCAATTCCCTTTTGAACTAGATAAAATTGCTATTTACCACGCCTGTTTCTCTTTTTTAATTGATTTTCATTTTATTTCATGTTTGCATAGGATTAGTAAATAATTCACAATAAATGGAAAAATGATCATTTTAGGATGAGAATTTTTTTCCTAGTTTCCTTAGGACCTTTAGAAAATTGTGAAATAATAAAAACATTAATTTCATGCATTTTATATTTTTGGCATATTTTCCAATACTATTGTTTTTTATTGTGCATTTTGTTAGTACGTAGTTTTTCTGAATTTAGTATGAGAGATTGGTGCATGATTTTTGAATGATTCTTGTAAGGTTGATTAGATTAGGGGAGAATGTACCCTTAGGAATTTTTTCATATTTTTGTGACTAAAACTTAGATCAGTTTGAGGGATAGATAGGATAGGTATCAGAATTAGGGTTTCGCAACAATTAGGTGCAGTTTGGGGCATAGTTTTGGGGTTTAATAGTTGATTTAGGTTATGGGGTCTTTATGGGGTATAGGGTATATAGTTAAGCTTCCTTAGAAATTTAATTAGGATTTTATAGTGAATTTTACTATTTTACTTGATTTTTGTAATTTGGTTGATATTGGTGTGTTTCCCACTTGGGATGTTGCTTTGTTTGTTGGGGTTTGGGCATTTCAATTGGACCTAGGGCTTGGGTTTTGCTTGTTGGAGCTAATGAGGACCTTGGATGATGATTGAAGACCAGGGATAGAGCTTGATGCTTGGAGATTCCTTTCCTGGCAGATGGTTTGTGAAGACTTAAGAGATATGAGAAATAGGGAGAGCTTTAGATTAGAATGATTTCTTTCACAAACATGGAAAGCATCTTGTGCTTCCATTCCTCCCAATGACTAAAAGTCCTTATAAGATATTCACATCCCTCCTTTGGAGGGATAAGTGGCTTATCTTGGAAGTAGAACTTTGAGGGAACCTGTCTCTCATAATGTTAAACACTTATAGGCTTCCTTTGGTTGTCAATAAGCTGTTTAGCATTCAACTTATTCTGTTAAGTGATTCTCTTCTGGAGTGCTTGCCTTGAAGAAAGAAGCTTATTGAAGACAAGAGGTTCATTGCATTGAAGATTAATAAAAGAGAAGCTTGTACATGTCAAAGCTGATCAACTGTTGAACTAGGGTTTTACTGCTGTTTGAAGCTGTCTGCTGGTTGGAGCTGTTGACTGTTGGGGTTCATTGCTTGCCAAAGCTTGGTGTTTTCTTGGAGATGGAGGGCTCTTTCCTTGAAGCTTATAAGTCATTGAAAATTGAAGTGGAGTATTACTTGAAGATGTTACTGTCAATTGGCTTGCTGTTGATTATTTGCTGTTGTAGGAGTTGGTTTGCTGTCAGGGCTGTTTGGGGTTTATTTTCTTTTTCTGTATTGTTTGTTGGCTTGTTCAGCTTGCCCCTTAGGTTTGAAGTGAAGCTGTTTCACTTTTCCTATTGTTTTCCCAGGTTCGAGGTTGAGTGGGACTCCCTTGCCTCACTTGTATTGCTGCATCTCATGCATTTCACTGTTTACTGTATATATGCTGTTTCTTTTCTGTTTATCCCCTATGATCTCTGTTTCTCTCTGTGCAAGAGAGAAATACGACAGACATTAGGTTTTAACCCATGCATGACAACATTAGGTTAGTTTTGATTCCCATTTTTCAACCGTAGGATTTTAGAGCGTCGTTCTTTTCTCATCTCGAAACATCCAAAATACAATAATATTTCAAACATCAATAAAAGACAGTTCTTGCGTAAAAGACTGGAAACCAATCAAAACGTTATTTTTGTCCGCTTGGACCCGTAATCAGGAGAAAACTTTTTCAGAAGGATAAAAGATAAACAGACAGTCTGGTGTCGTACGTAGCCCGAACTACGTTTGCTCTGATCTTTCATGCTATATGAAAGTACGTAGGCATAGGATGCGATATCCTAGCGAGCAACCTTCCCCTCCTTTCCCGTAGGTAGGCGAACTACGTTGACTCTGATTTCTCGTTCCAGACGAGAATACGTAGGCATAAAGTGCGATACTTTGCCGAGTCATTTTATTTTCTTTTAACCCTAAACCTGTAGAATAGATAGAATAACAATCCGTACTAGAAAACAAGCGTGGATCCCGTCGAGTACGACCGACGTGAGGGGTGCTAATACCTTCCCCTTGCGTAACCGACTCCCGAATCCAGGATTTGGTTGCGATGACCATTCCTTTCCCGTCTTTGTGTTAGGTTTACTTCGAGCGTTTCCTTTCCCTCCGTTGGGATAAATAACGCACGGTGGCGACTCTTCTGTCATAGCCGGCGCCGATTTTCGCAGTAGCGACAATGTATATTTGACAGAAAGTAAAAGTTAGTCGTTAGTTTGTTATGAATTGAATCGGGGCAAAATGTAACGCTAAACCGTCGTAGCTCGACTTATAATATTGACTGAAATAATGAAGGTTATAAACCTCGAAAACCAACGTTCGCGCATCGAAAGACTTCATAGATCAAAAAATTAAATAAAATAAAAAATGAAGAAGAAATGAGGAGATAAAAAGTGAGTGGTCTCAGATCCATCATTATTTATCAATAGTTTGACTAGTAATGATTTTCGGAGGTCTCGTCATCGACCCAAAATGAAACTAAAATAAAAATCCAAGACTAGATCGAAATAAAACGAAGAAAATGGTATAAAATAAAATTAGAAGTGATTTAATGAACCAAAATCAAATTGTTTAGTAACGTTTTTTTTAACGAAAATCACTAACTAAAAAAATTAAAACCTTTTATTGAAAACCTTAAAGAAATAATTAAAAAATAATTTAAACTTCTTATTGAAAATCTTAAAGAACTAACTAAAAAATAATTAAAACTTTTTATTGAAAACTAAAAAAACGCAAAAGAAGAGGGGGTGCGAATGGACATATGGTGGTAAATGAGTAAGAGGGTGGTTAAAGCAACAAAACAACATGGGCCAATTGAGCCAATTAAAAAGGATAATTCAAAATGTTTTGGTAGCTGGTGTATATATTTTCTAGGATCAAACTTGGACACCTTGGTTAGGTACGATTTGACGATATGTTCCCTGGGGTCTGTTGTTATTGCTGATTTATGATGTAGGCCCAATAGATCCTTTGGTATTATATTGGGTACAAGTACTTGCGAATTGGCTGGAAATTTGAGTCCATGAACCATCATGTCTTGAAGATTTTACCCCATACCCCTACCCTTATACCCACACCTCTACACTCAAAAATATTGGACCAAAATACCCTTATTTAAATATCTATAATTTTAACATTTTTTCAGTTTCACTTCATTTCCACTTATTTCCATTTCAAGACTTCCGGAGAGCTCTTCATCCATTTACAAATCGGAACTTTTCTACCAACTCTTCTGGAACACATTTGTTTTTCAATACATACCGAAACTCTAAGAGTAAGTCTTCCGGTTTGTATTTTGTTTTTGTTTCTTTACCGGAACTCTTTCCTGAATACTTCCGGTTCACAAAATTTTGAGTTTATTCACCGGAACTCTTTTCTGAAGACTTCCGGTTCACAAAATTTTGCGTTTCTTCTCCGGAACTCTTTCTTGAAGTCTTCTGGTTCATTGTTTTTTTTAGTTTTTAATTTCTAATTATATTTATTTATTTATTTATTTTTTTAATTTTATTTATTTATTTTTCCAGTAGTGCGCACATGAGGCAGAGATGGTAAGATCCCTCGTAGACTAGGATGAGACGAGTCATCGAGAATGGCTGAAGAAGAGCATTTTGATGCATCAACATCAGCATCCGAGCCGGTTGGATATCCAGGAGGACTGTATGATACATCTCTGTTAGTTAAGTACGAACGACATGTTGCATACCGTATATGGTTCGGTGAGGTAAGTAAACGAAAATTATTTAATATTGAATAGAATTTGAATTTTTAATATTGAATTTTATAATATTTTTACTTTTAATTTTTTTCATGAGAGAGGGTCGAAGAAAGAGTTAAAGGTAGCGGGGCATGGGTTGAAGTTGACTCAGAGGGTTCCACTACAGCTACCCAGAGAGATGGATAGCTGGATATCTAGGTCTGGTCTAGCTTCACTCCAGAGAACCAGTTTAACAAAGATAAACACAAACCTAGTTTCCGCTTTTGCAAAGAGGTGGCATCTAGAGACATCTTCATTTCACATGCTGTTTGGTGAGATGACAATTACTCTAGATGACGTATCTTGCCTGCTTCACTTGCTCATCAGGGGAGTCTTCTAGAGCCCTCAAGATATCAGTGAAGCGCTTGCTGTTGAGTGGACTGTTGATTATTTAGGAGTGTCACAGAGAATAGCACAACAACAAGTCCGTGAGTGCAGAGGTTCCTACTATAAGCTGGAGTGGTTATATGATCGGTTCGTAGAGCACAGAGCTGCATCTCGATGGGATTATGCCACTAGAGCTTATTTGCTGATGTTAGTTGTCGCTACTGCAAAAAACAACTGGTGAAAAAACAGAAGAGTCGCCACTTTCGTTATTTATCCCAAAGAGAGGGAAAGGAAACGATCGCAAAAACCTAAAGAAAAAGGGAAAGACAAGGTCATCGCAACCATGTCTGGGTTCGGGAGTCGGTTACGCAAGAGGAAGGTATGAGCACCCCTCACGTCCGTCGTACTCGACGGGATCCATGCTTGGGTTGTCTAGTCTATGGGTGAAAAACAATCTATCTACGTCTGCTAAAGCTAAACGGAAAGAACTGAAAAGAAACAGAAAGAACTGACTCGACAGAGCATCGCCGCTCTGTGCCTACGTATTCCCTCGTGCAATGGGAAAGTCAGAGTCAACGTAGTTCGGGAAACTACGGGGGAAATTGCTCGCCAAGACATTGTGTCTTGTGCCTACGTGTTCTCATCTGACATGAGAAATCAGAGCAAAACGTAGTTCAGGCTAACTACAGGACAAAAGGGTGTTCTCGATCACACGGGGTGAGAGAAAGGTTGACGATACTAGTGTGCGTATTCTAGCAGTTAGGTGTATACTGCTCGACCATTGGAGACTTAGGCGTTACCTGTTTGCGGTAGAACGTACGTAGTATGTCGGGTTTAGAGGTACGGGAACCTACGGGAACTAGAACTACGGTCTGGTCTCGATTGCGCTAGGGCAAGAGAAAGGGAAACATTAGTCATTAGCGGGAAAGTCTCGGTCGCACGGCCGCGAGAGTACAGAGAAGTTAGTTGTTAATGTGCTCGCTAGGATATCGCATCATATGCCTACATACTCTCAATAGGTATGAGAGATCAGAGCAGCTGTAGTTCAGCCAACTATGGAAAACAGTCTCGATTGCACGGGGGCAAGAGAACAGAACTCAATCGCCAGGACGCGAGAGAAAAGGGGAAGTCTCAATCGCCAGGAGGCGAGAGAAAGAGGAAATAGGACGCACACGCGAAATCCTAAAACGTAGGAACAAATGTGTCACATATTATCCAAGGGACATACGCTAAACACCCTAGACAAGTGAGAGGCAGCCACCCACTCATCATTTCCCTCGTATCTAAAGCTTACGACTCACAACGCTCGAAGGGTGAAAAGAAAGAGACGAAAGCAGTGAAATAAAGACAATGTTACCGAATGGAGTGGTTCCGTTGACCCTTGACTTTTGCATGAAATTCCATTTCCAAGCTCTACTCTTTCGGTCCTTGATGATGACATTTCAAACCAGAACCAATGTGTCGCTGAACCGTCATAATTCAACTTATAAAAGAAGTCAAACCCCAAGAGGTAGCGTATTGATATCCGTGTCAAAGACAAGATGGAGAAATAATATTGAGAATGATTCTCCGATTAAATCATGTCACACGGCCAGCACAACAGAAAGGCAAAATAAAATCAGAAGAAGAAGAAAAGATGAGGAGAGAAAAACGGTCTCGGATCCTACATTATCCATCAATATTCTGATTAATAACGCATTACGTAGGTCTCGTCATCGACCTACAAAAATGAAATGGTGAGAAAAATAATCCAATATGAAAATAGATAAGAATTCAACTTTAATAGAAAATATGAAACTCCTAAAAAGAAAATAAATCCAAGAGAAATATCAAAAGAAAATGAATAAAGGAAATAGAATATAAAACAAAATATAGAAAATAAATTTAAAATATAAAAAATATATATATTTAATATATACAATAAATTTCTAAAAAATAAAAATAACAAAATGGTATTTATACATAATATATAAGTTAAATACAAAACAAAAAAATGAAACAAAATAGGGGGTGCAACAAAGGAACAGGGGTGACAGCAAGCAATAATAATCTACAATTGGGCTTAAGGGCTGGAAGCCCAAATCTGCAACACAATAGCAACCAGAGGGGGTGCAAGGGCAAAATGGGGTGTGCCATGAAATAAACTGGTTGGGCCCAGCCCAACTCTAAAACCAACAGCCACGCGGGGTTCAAAAAGCAATATGGGAGGTGAAATCCAGAAATTGAATGGATTGGGCCTTACGGCCCACTAACCAAAATGAAGAGGTCCATGAGTCATCTTCCTCTTTTCAATTTTTTCTTCAGAAACCTTAGGTTAACTGTTCACCGCCGTCTCCGTCTCCCAACTCTCCCCCCGTCTACTTCCATTTTGCTCCAAAACCAAAACGTTCTCTGCCGTTTTCCTCCGTTTCAATCTCTCTCTGTTTATCCCCTTTAATCTCCATCTCCTTTTTCTCTTCACGCTCACCGTCTCTTTTCTTCCTTTCTTTTTCAAACAAAATAAAACGAAAACAAAAAAATCAAAACAAGTCATCTGAAAACACTTCGCGGTTGTTGTTGTTGAAGATTCCTTCACGGTGGAAGATTTCTGGAAAAAAACTGGACGGAGGCTGTCGTTAAGAATGAAGGAGTTTTGTTGAATGTGTTTGGATCTGAAGTTGTTTTGGATCGGAGACGGAGGGTTGTTGGTGGTTTGATGTTTGGTAGTTGCGAATCTGGGTAGATCGGAAGAAGTTGACGGAGATCTGAGGTTAGATTTGGAATTGTTTGTGGTTATGAGTCGTGGAGGCGGTTGAAGTTTAGATATGTGTTTATTGATGTTGAGATGAAGTTTGAGTGAAGGTGGATTCGTTTGTGGTTTGAGGTTGATGATTATGGAGGTTGTGTTGAAGGTTTGGAGATGTTCATGAGTTTCTGGGGATTATTGATGAATATGGGGATTTGTGGATGAACACACGAACATCTGGATGAACAAGATGAGTGTTCATGAAGAATCCTGGGAAATTGGTGATGAATTTCTAGAAAGGTCGTGATGAACTTGGTATGAATTTGGATGAACACTGGGATTTCTGGAGAATGAAGAATTTTCCGGTGAGATTTTCCGGTGAGACGGGCTGAGTTTGATTCAAATGATTTCTCCGGCGAGTGTGCTCCGGCATTTGCATGGCCGGCGGTGAGCCCTTGGAATTCGTGTCACCTCATTAATGAGGCCTTTTATACCGCTAACAAGTGTCAGCTCGCATAATGGGCCTGCGGAAGAAACGATGACATGTGGCCTGCAGGCTTGATTAATGGACAATTAAAGCTGATAATGATAATTAATTAATTAAATGAATTGAAAATTAAATACTAAATGTCATTAATTAAAGTTGACAATGATTAAAAGAATGCTAAAAGCTAATTAACAAAGCTGATTAATTAAAACGAAAATTAACATTAATTAATACCAATTAAATCAAATTAAACTAACTAATTCAATTAAAACTAATTAAAATCTAGATTAATAATAAAAATAAAAGAAAATATTAATAATATTCAGAAAAATCTATTTAAGAAATAAAATCTAAAATAAAAATTATAGCCCAAACTAATTAATATTAATTTAAATTTAAATCAATTAAAAAAGAATAATAAAACAATTAAAATTCAAAAAAAATAAAATAAAATCTATATTAAATCTATTAATATTCTAATAAATTCTAAAACCTCTATAAAAATAAAAATAAACCTATTTAAAAATTCAAAAAAAGTGCCGAAAATAGGAAATAAATCTAAAAAAATAAAATAAAATCAGTGAGCGATAAAATACAACAAAATAAACAGTAAGAAAAACCTGATACCGAAATAACACCGAAACCAACAGCGTAGACTGAATCACCGGGCCGACCGCAAATGCCATAACAGTTTGAAATGTCTGGAACACGACAGAAAGGGCTGTAATCCCGATTAAATCGATCTGGCTGCAACAATGCACAGTATGCGGTATGCAGATGCAAATGCAAAATGAAACGAAACATAAGCCAAAAACGAGAAACGGTTGGTCAAATTTTGGGGTGCAACAGCTGCCCCTATTCAAACGACTTGGGCCTGAAGGGTTGAAAAGCGAACGACTTTCAAACATTCGAAGGTAAAAGTCGGTTGAATACCAAAGAACTCAGAAATTTGCCAACCGTAAAAAGAACTGCAAACTCTGGTATAATAGAACAAAGATCTTCGAAAGTAAGCTGAACTGATCACAAAAGTGCTCCGCTGGGAAATAGAGGTTTAACCAAACAACTCTGGCAGGGAGAAAACGAGAGAAACTTAACCAAGTAACTCCGTTGGGTAACACATAATAAGATGAACACATTCATCAAAAGTTGCGCCATGGTCTGGATACCATATTGGCCGAAAGGTAACATTCACGTTGTTAGAGTCTGGATTCTCGAGGGAAATCGGAGCCTGGATACTCAAGGTGATCGGAGCCTGGATGCTCAAAGCAGATATACCTGAGTCTGGATACTCAGTAATCAAAACCTGAATGCTTAATGCACTTCTGAGCCTGGATGCTCTATGCAAAATACCAGAGTCTGGATACTCGGTAATAATCTGAGTTTGGATACTCAATAATCTGAGCCTGGATGCTCGGTGCAATCTGAGCCTGGATGCTCTATGCAAAAGAAACTGAGTCTGGATACTCGGTTAATAAATCTGAGTCTGGATACTCAATAACCTGAGCCTAGATGCTCAATGCAAATAACCTGAGTCTGGATACTCAATAACTGGAGCCTGGATGCTCGATGCAAGAAACCTGAGTCTGGATACTCGGTTAATAAATCTGAGTCTGAATACTCAACAATCTGAGCCTGGATGCTCAATGCAAAAGGAATATATTCATCAGGATCTGGATATCCTACAAGTTCAAGTCAAACGACGTTGCTGGGAAATAAAATAAGTTGTGGTCTGGATACCACGCGAGCTGAGAAAAACAATAGGCGCCAAGGTCTGGATACCTCACGGCGATAGGAGATAACA